TATATTTGTCTTAGTCCTGGGCAGCCTAACTCAATCCTTAATCCCAGGGGGTAGATTAATTTAATTTTCACCGTTGCTTCTCTAGACTCACACCAGCTGAAGACAAATGATTTGGGAGCTAGCATTATTAAATATTGTGATTTTATTTGCTCCCTGTGTTAGAAGAGCAGGTGGCTATTTATTCCAGCAACATAAATTTTACAACACATAGCCTTTTCTTTCCACTTTTTTTTTTGCAGAATTCTTTCTCTGTCTTTCTTTTATGTATTGGGTTGTATTTAATTTGTTACTGCAATTTCAACACCCCCACAAGTAGCTCTGCCTTCAGTCACATCATCTACTGGTAGTGCCAACTACCTTGTACTCCTTGGAGAGAGTGCTGCACCTGGAACCTAGTGATGGATAAGGTTCTTTTGGCTTAGAGACACAGACACTCCATCAGAGATGTCCACGCTGATGGACCCACCCAGGATTTGGCTCTTGGTCTGCTTCTAAGCTTGCATGAAGTGCCATGCATATGTACTGTGCAGCTTGTGGCTTCCCCAGGAGACAAACAACAGGATTAAGAAGTTGCTAACTATTAAAGGGACAAACTTGGACCAGTGAGAGGCAGGGTTGACAGAAAGTTGGCAAGTATATTTCACTCTCTGTCCTCTGACCTGTCAGTGTGATGCATGCATTTGCAGTACAAATAGTCCTGAGATGTCCTGTGTGACTGAGAGACATGATGCTCCTCTTAATGAAGCAGTGCCCATCTATGTAATGTACAGCCTCATCTTGAATTCCCATAACTCCTTGTTTCTCTTTCTCCTTACCTTGTTTTTCCTAGTATTGCATTTTCCATTAGAAGTTATCACTGTTTCTGGGCAGTGGTGACACATGCCTTTAATTGCAGCACTCAGGAGGCAGAGACAGGCAGATCTCTTTGAATTTGAGGCCACTCTGGTCTACAGAGCAAGTTTCAGGACAGCCAGGATGGTCTTAAAAGTAACACTTTTTAAAACTTCTGAATTTGTAATATGTATATTGTAAGTCAACTGAGAAAAGACAAAAGAGGTTACTGGAAAAATAGTTCTTGAATTTTCCTTGTGAATATGGTACAAACTGAAAACAGCTCATTAATTCATTCCGTTTCAACTAATAACCTCTGGCATTCATGCTGAGCTGGGACCCATATGGAACATTAGACATAAAAACATAAGCTAGTAATATAAGATATAACTTTAAAATTCATTATTTCTTGACTATTTCATGTATATATATGATGCATTCTGGTCACATTCATCCTCATCTGCTTTTGTCCCTCTTCCATGGAAGTCCCATTGCACTTTCATGATCTTTTGTTTCTGGTTTTGTTTATAAGTTTAAGCAGCACTGTTTACTGTGAGCATGGGTGTGGAGTTATCCACTGCAGTATGGGAAATTCACCAGCAGCTATACCACTGAATGCAATGACTCTCCCTTCTTCAACATCTGATAGCTAATAGTCCCCATATAGTTTCACAGTCCTTTTCCCCATCATCCAGCTCTTACATTCTTTCCTCCCCTCCTTCTGCCATGTTCCTGGAATAGATGTCCTTCTTAGGGCTGCACATTCAATAGTCATTTATTCTCAATGCCACGAGTGGCCTTGGATATCTGTATTCACTGCTGATTATTACAAAAAGAAGCTTCTCTGATCAAGACTGAGAGCTGAGAATAGAAGGGTTGGAACGTTAAGTATTTAGAAAGCAATTTGATATCACATATAATCAGCAAAATAACACTAGTATGTTTCCCTTAGGGCCTGTGCTTTCCCCAGCAGTGGACATTTGATTAGGTTTTCAGTACCAGTCACAAATTCCCTCTTGTGGAGTAGGCTTCAATTTCAACCAAAAGTGCTTTGTTCCCCCTGTAATAATCATACCACTTTTATATAGGGGGTGACTCTTTCTAGCAGGCTGATATTGTATCAAGCAAAGTCCATCCCTTAGTAAGACTGTGCATAACTCTTCTCTCCTCCAGTGGCAGCACAGCACCTCTGTATGAAAGCTCATAAGCAAGGAGGAAGATTCCAACCCAGTAGCAGTTTAGATTTCTCTATGTCCTTCAACCAAGGTGTGTGCTGTCTTCCTCCATAGGGTCTTTCCATCTAGATCCAATGAGGAGTCAAGAACTATGTCAACAGCCTGTGTTGTTTGAGACTGCTGAAAATTTCATGACAAACAGCACTGGAATTTTTGTTTGATCACTCATGGATTCTGGGGTCAACTTTGTCCACTCATGAAGGGCACCTCTGTTTCAACTCCTTTTTATACAAAGTAGTAGGTTTCCATATGGCATTGGCATGTAACTTTGTTTTTGTTAGCCACCCTCTCTCTCCTATTTCTCTCTCTCTCTTCCCTGTTTATATCTTGCCACTTGCATCATTTACCTTCTCCACTTTCATACCACATGTATATGTCTAACTATCCCCACTCTCTGTCAGGCCTCTTACCTCACACCATTATTTCAGATTTTAACATATATATATATATATATATATATATATATATATATATTATATGAGATGTCTTAAGGATGGGGTCCATGTCTAAACATGAAATTCATTTATATTTCACCTACACCTTATGAAAACAGCCTGAAGGTAATTTTATAGGATATTTTTAGTGTTCCTGTTTTGACTGCAATGTGCCATCTGCTAGGTGAAGCCAGGTGTGGAATCTTCCACTTGCTGTGCTATGCAGTACTCAAGGTGTTTCAAAAAAAAATGGAGCAGTTAAGAGTTCTTATTTTCAAGTAAGCAATGATTCATCTTTACAATGAAACAGTTGGTTCTAAGTAACAAATTAAGGAATCCAGTTGCCCCTGAACAGATACTTAACAGATTTGTGCCATGAGGGAAGTTATCATATGTTGAACACCAAACTCGGATAAAACCATGTCCCTGGCCTGCCAAGAAACAGTCACCGAGACAGCAACAGCAGAGTCTGTCCCTGCTTATGGGACACTTACATTGAAATCCCCCTATATGTCAATCACACAAGGACCGTTATTCTCCCTACTTGGCTGAAAGAAATGATGACAACCCAGGTGACAGCAAATATTACTAATACTTTACAGTTTATTGAAGCAGGGCAACTAGCTACCATCTCTTCACACTTAGCAAGGAGAAGAAAAACAACACTTCGTAGATAAAAAGGCTTCAGGTATGAAGTGGTGACTGATGGCTGTTGGCATGGAGAAAGTTGGAAAGGTGTGACTTTAACTTCATGTGAGGGGGGGGGGGGTGAGGGGGATTTTTCCTCTCTTTTAAAATTTAAATAATAAACAATCTTGTTTAACTTGTCAGTCCAAGTTCCCTCTCCCTCCCCTCCCCCCATGCCCCCCACAACCCCTATCCCATTCCTTTTCTGCACCACAGGGAGGGTGAGGACTTCCATGGGGATCTTAAAAGTCTGTCACATCATTTGGAGCAGTGCCTAGGCCTTCTCCGTGAGTCTAGGCTGAGAGACTCCCAGCCTAGAATGGGCTCCCAAAGTCCAATCGAACACTAAGGATAAATACTAATCCACTACCAGAGGCCCCATAGACTGTCCAGGCCTCCTAACTGACACCCACGTTCAGGGGGTCTAGGTCAGCCCTATGCTGGTTTCCCAGCTGTCAGTCTGGGTTCCACGAGCTCCCCTTTGTTCAGGTCAGCTGTTTCTGTGGGTTTCCTCACCCTGGTCTTGACCCCTTTGCTCATTACTCCTCCCTCTCTGCAACTGGATTCCAGGAGTTTGGCTCAATGCTTAGCTGTTGGATCAGGTAAGGTTTTCTCACATTGATACTAAGTTACAAGCAAGGTCAAGACTTAGAAAACCTGCCAATTAGAAATTGAGCTCTGGTCATTTTGGGAAATTGCTAATGAGTCTATTGTTTGGTTGTCTGGAATGGTTGCTGCATGCGGGATTGGTTGTTACTGTGTATTGTGGCTGAGAGTTGGTCACAGTGCACTCATACTGCAGGAAGAGGATCTTAAGGCTCTGCTTTCATATGTAATCAGGGCGTTGTCGATTATGTTGTATATTCATTCAGTCTCTCCACCTTGATCACAGTCAAGAGGCCAGAAAAGCAAGAGAACTGCATTTAAGTGATATGTAGATGAAATATAACCAAATATCGAACACAATATATCCCCTTTAGACTTATTCATTTTATCTTTTATATGTATTAATATTTTACCTGCATATATGTCTGTTTACCCCATGCATGCCAGGTGCCTGTAGAGGTTAGAAAGGGCATCGGGTCTATTGGAACTAGAATTACAGATGCTTAGGAGTCACTGTGTGGGCACTGGGAGCCTTACCCAGGTCCTCTGAAAGAGCAGCAAGTGCTCTTAACTGATGAACCATATCTCCAGCTCACAATCTGTTCATAATTATGCTTTTTCTGGAGACACTGATGTAACCTAGAGTTTTTTTTTTTTGTTAAAATGAATTTCAGAAGAGAAAAGTACTCTTGATGCAACTTTAAATAAAAAGGAAGATGTGAGTGAGATTGTAGATGATGGTAAAATATGATTAGAAGATTGCCAGGGGTAAATGTCATCCTTAATATCATAATATCCATATGATTGACAAGCTAAAGGACAACTTAATCTTAAAAAGAAAGCATTTATGTTATGGAGTGATATGTGTTGACAGCAAGTTCATCACACTATTTAAAACCTTCAAATCACGTATTGTTGCCTCTTTTTCTTTCTTGACTATAGAAAAGTTGCCATTTCTGGCTTCATTGTTGAATGGTCAAAAATGATAAATGAGTAGAATGATGTCAGTCGCAGTGGGGGTTTGATGGGTGTGGTGTCAGTGAATGGTGTTTCAAAGTTTCAGTCCAGCAGGCGATGAGTTAAATGCATTACAAGGATGATATTCAAAAGCTGTGCAAATATCTGGGTATCTATTTGCTTGATTCTATAGATTCTTCTCACTAGATACAGGTCCCCCTTCTTTCTTTTTAAAGAATGTGTATAGCTACTCACAGAGTTCAGAGAGGGGGCATTGGATCCCTTGAAAATAGAATTATAGGTAGTTGTGTGCTGCCCAGTGTGGGTGCTAGGAAACAAACTCAGGTCCTCTGGAAGTGCGACAAGGGCTCCTAGTTACTGAACCAGCTCTCCAGCCCCTGAAATGGAAGTTAAAAGGAACCTATTAGAAATCTGCAAATGGATCCTCTTCTGTATAGAGAAGTAGCATTACATATAGCAGGGCAATAAATGTCAGCAAAGTTCTTATCTATTCGGAACACTTGGCGATTTTTATGGAACTATTCAAAAGCATATTTGACATATTGTCTGCCATCCTTCAAAATCCTAACCTGTGTAAAACTCCTTCATAAGTGGATACATATAAGAAAATGTGTATGTACATTTCTTTAAAGATGCAATTATTTAATACAACAACCGGAAAACATATCACTTGATGAGCCTCTGCCCGTTGCATTATCGCATGGTCATTATTTGAAAGAAAGAACTGCAGTCCAGAATGTCCAGCAATTATTAATAATGTTTAGTGTAAGAATAAAATATATTTTAGAAAAAATTCTATTTCTGTGACATAGCAATGTGGTCTGTTGGAACCAGTCCTAAACAAAATTATTATGGTGTGGGTTTAGTTACACAATTACCTAAAAAACAAAGCAGCAATTGTTCTATTGTACTTTTAATTTTGGGTAAATTAGTCTCTCTATACCTTTCATAATTCCTTTTTATCTCTAGTGGCAATGAAATCAGAATACCTTGTTGATGTGGAAGCAAAACAAAGACACTTGGTAGGGGTGTTGGTGTCTAAACAATACTATTCTGTGATCGCACAGCATCTGCATGGAAAATGAAATATATGAGAGAGGGGAAAGAATAATCTAGAAGAGAGGGGCAGAGGTGGAACTCTAGCAAAGTCTAGACTTACTATTTTCTCCTTGGCTTCCAACACAGGGCCTATCACCAAGCAAGCACAGGACCATGCTGAGTAAGTGTGTGATTAGCAGGCGACTAAGTTTCTAGCGATCAAGGATAACTATAAATGAATCTGGATATTCTCAATCAGCCAGATGGCAGCCAGATGAGTCCCTCTCCCTTCACACTCTGCAGTGATGACTCTCGGGCAGAGAATCCGTTGAAATCTTGAAATTTATTTTAGGATCTGGGAGCCATTGTTTTGAACATTGCCGATTATGGCTTCTCTTTTTGTTCTTCCTAAAATGGAAAGCTTGATGTTTTATGAGAAGCTAAAAGTCACGTAGTGTCTGGAAAAAATAAAACTGTGTTTTATTAACTCTAAATTAGAATTACTAGAGCCATGAACTATTTCTAAACTGCATAAAATTAGGTGGGAAAAGCACAAAAATGTATTAATTAGCAGTGTTAGAGTTTCTTGTGTCCTTCAAGTAGAACTCTTGCTTATTTTCTATTTACTTTTTTATTTGTCTGGTGCTTGGGATCTAATCCAGGGTTTTACACATCCTGGACTTGCTTCCTGTCCCTGAACTGTCCCCCAGCTCCTTAGAATGCTCCTTAAGTACTGTCATTTCTTTAACCCTCTAGACAAGTTGGAAGAACTAATATGACAGAAATGTCCATGGTATACCACACAGTATAAAGATTCAGTGCCACCTCTATTAAAACATCAATGGCATTTTTCACAAAGGTAGGGAAAACAATCCTGCACTGAACTGATATGAAAACACAAAGAATTCTGAATATGCTGGAGCAATCTGAGAAAATACCAAATTCAGATGCAGCATGGCTCCATCACATACATGAGGCTCATTAACATATGATGAATAACTACTGATGATTTAATAAAAAGAATGCAAACTATTGAAACTGAGTTTTACCAGGCATCTTTAATTAGGAAAAGGAGAAAGCGAAAGAGGAAATGACATCACTAATAACAGCAGACCACAAAACTATACTAAGCAAAAGATCATATGCAGAGACCAATGGAAAGGAACAGAGGGCATAAAAGAAACCCATGCATCTATGGGTGAGTGTCCTTTGGGATAGGCACCATCAGCATAGACAGTGGTAAGAACAGTCTCTTTAATAACTGATGTCGAGGAAATCCGACATCCACATGAAGGAGACTGGAACCACTTCTATCTATCACTATAAAAGTGATCAACTTAAAGTGGATCAAATTCATCTTAGATGTAAGACATAAACTAGTAAACTGCCTGAGAAAAGCATGAGCAAGATACTTCAACATTTTTTTCTGGCACCAGGGCTGGGGCATTGGCCATGAAAAGTCAGTCCTTGGCTACTGAAGTATATCCATAGCCCTTGAAATATTTCAATGTGATAAGTAATTGATGGGGAATGTACTGTGTATGTTTATCTTATTGGTTTTCAAATAAAATACTGTTTGGCCAATGAGACAGCAAATTAGACGGGACTAGGAGTCAAGGAGGATTCTGGGAAATGTAGTAGATAAGTGGTGATCCAGGCAGGAAGTGACATAGCAAGGAGACTCATATTTAAAGAAGGAGAAACAGGAAGTGTCTCTCTTTTCCCCTCCACTCCTGCTCCAGCAGCACAATGTGATCCACCGGCAAGGAGGGATGTCAATAAGGTGTCTGATAAGATAAGTCTTATAAAATACATAGGTTTATGAAAGTTAAGACTGAGCTAACAGATGAGAATCCTAGTCATTGGCCAAGCAGCATTGTACCTAATACAAGTTTCTGTGTATTCATTTGGGCCCTAACTCAGGTGGGCAGCTGGTGTAAAGCTCACACGTGGCGGTGGGGCTCAGGCGGTTTTGGTGGAAAGATTTATGGTAACAGAATGGTGTCAGAGTGGGAGACTGGAACCACTTCTATCTATCACTATAGAAGTGATCAACTTAAAGTGGATCAAATTCATCTTAGATGTAAGACAAACTAGTAAACTGCCTGAGAAAAGCATGAGCAAGATACTTCAACTTTTTTTCTGGCACTAGGGCTGGGGCATTGGCCATGCGAAGTCAGTCCTCGGCTACTGAAGTATATCCATAACCATTGAAATATTTCAATGTGATAAGTAATGAATTTTTTTTTTACTCGAGATGCAGTAGCAACAGATTGGGCCAACAAAGTATACCAATGGGATTATGGTAAATCAAGTCATTTATGCACAACAGAGGAGGAAGGAATTGATGGAAGGAATGACCAATGGAATGGGAGAAAACTCCTTACAAACTCACAAGAAATTAATATTCAAACTCTAAGGAACTTGAGAATGCCAACAGAAACAAAAGCAATCCAATGGCAATTGATTTTATATACATACAAGCAAAGGGATCCCATGGGTCTTTCTCAAAAACAGATCTGCAAATGATAATAAATACTAATTATTAGAGAAGTGCAAATCAAAATTGACACTGAGAGATCACCAAACCCCAGACAGAACAACTATATTTCTTTTCCACAAAAATAGCCAATACTAGTAAGGATGTAGAGAAGGGGGACTTCTCATACATTGTGAGAATTTGAATTTGTATAGATATTTGAAAAGTCAACATGAACTTTCCTCAAGACCAAAAGCCAATAATAGAACTACCAGATCATGGAGTTATTCTCAATATTCCCCCTTCTCTCCCTCCCTCTCACTGTGTGTTTATAGTGAATATATTTAAAAACATATTTTTAAGACTCAGAGGTTCAACTAAGTTGGGCTCATAGGAGTTCACAGAGACTGAACCTACAACTAGGGAGCTTGCAAGGGATTGACTTAGGCCCTCTGCATATATGTTACAGCTATGTAGTTTGATCTTCTGTGGGAGTCCTAACAGTGGGACCATGGGCTGCTGTCTCTGGCTCTGTTACCTGTTTTTGGGACCCTTTTCTCATTTTGGTTGCCTTGTCCAGTCTTAATAGAAGAGGAGGTACCTAGTCTCACTGTGACTTGATAAACCATGGCTGACTGATAACCCTGGAAGGCCACCAATATCTGAAAAGAAACAGGAGGAGTAATGGATGGGGGGAGTGAAGTAGGAGGAGGAACTGGAAGGAGGGAGGGAAAACTTTGGCTGGGATGCAAAAACAAAAATATAAATAAACAAAAACCCCACAAACAAACAAAAATAATTAGATTTTAGGTTGCCAACACAGAGTAACAAAAGGACATTTAAGAAGAGCTATATAGAATTTATTTACCTGATGATCACTCAACATGTATCTGATTATCTCCTACAGTCCATACACGAGTACAGTCAAAAGAACTAAAATGATTTTAAATACAAAATGAGAAAAAGCATACTTCTTTGTTATATTCTTCAGTGTTATGATGGCTACTGTTGGTAGTCAATTTGACTGTATCTGGGATTAAATAAAACCCAGGTAGCTGGGTACACCTGTTAGAGATTATTTCTTAATTAAATCACTTAAAATGGGAAGACCCACTTTTAGTTTTTATTTATTTTTTCTTTTATTCGTATAGCTTTCCTTGCAAATGTTCATTGCAAAGAGTCATTGTTCTGGTTCTAGGCCTCTTGTTTCTGCTGTACCATTGATGCTGGGCTCTTACTGGAACTTCTTTTGGTGATCCTGCTATTTCTGTGTGTAGTGGAGATCCTGTAACTTTGGGTCTGCAGGACAGTCTCTTCACTTGCTCTAGAGATCACAGATGGAGTGGATGTTGGGGTGGGCCAACACATAACTCTGGTTTTGTGCCTTGGTAGTTGCAGAGTTGGTAGGCCGCCAGCTCTTCATTGTTCTTACCATCAGGATGAGTTACATTGCCCTGGCTAGTTCATCCCTTTTAGCATTGAGCAAGGGGAGAAGCCAATTCTCCTACTTTCATATTCTCAGAGTCAGTTGTCCCACAGCTATGCCTTCAGGGCAAGCTCTACTGTGTTGCCCAGGCATAGCATAGGGGCCACTCTCCTGGGTGCTGTAGCTGGTGAGGGGCAGGGGCAACTCTCCTGCCCTGGTGATCTCAGGACCAGCTCTCCTACCTGCCTCAAGATAATGGGGGTAGGGTGTGGGGGTAGGGGAATATTAGCTTTTAATGCAGTTCTTTTGAGGTGAGAAAATCCACCTTTAGTCTGTGCCACACTTTCTGGTGGAAGCTTATTTAAAAGCCATGGTAGAAAGATGCTCTGTGCCTTTTTGCCTGCTTGCTCTTGCTCTGTCTGGCAAGTCCATTGCTTCAGTGGCATTAGAGCTTACTTCTTAGCCTGATGGTGATTGTGCACACCTTTAATCCAAGCACTTAGGAGACAAATGGAGGCAGATCTCTGAGTTTGAGGCCAGCCTGATATACAGAGCTAGTTCCAGGAAAGCCAGAACTAGAACTGCACAGAGAAACACTGTCTGAAAAATCAAAAAAGAAAAAAGTTTACTTTTTTGGAATTCTGGCATATCCTAAAACTGCCCAGTCCTGTGGACTGAACAACTACTAGATTCTTGGACCTTCTGTTGATAGATAAATATATATATATATATATATATATATATATATATATATACACACACACATACACATACATACATACCCATACACACATATTCATTTTATCAGTTCTGGTGAACTAATACACGGGAACTCAATAGTTTTGTAATTGATCAAGACCTAAGTTTTCTATTTTTGTCTCTATGATTTTTTTTGCATGAGTGCATGAGCGTGTGGCATGCATGTGCATATGTGCTTGTTCACATGTGTGTGGGCACACATGTGCATGCATGTGTATACATATGATTGAATCCATGTGGAGGACAGAGGTTTACATTGGGTGTCTTCAGTCTTCAGTCCCTCTCCACTTTTATATATTGAGGCTGGATTACTCACCAAGTCTGGAGCTCATTAATGCAGCTAGCCTTGATACTCAGCTTGTTCCAGGGGACCCTTGGTTTGTGGCAGGCACTGGAATTAGAGGCACACTGCCACACCCATCTAACATTACATGGCTGCTAGGGATCTAGACTCTGGTCCTCACAATTATGTGACAGGGACTTTACCCACTGAGCCATCTCTCCAACAATTGTGATATTTTTAAACTTTAAGTGTGAATATCCAAAAATAAAATGCTAGACATATTATTTAATATATGTATTAAATGCTCATGACAATTACATGATTTATATCTGAATTATTTTATGATGGTTTACCAAGTCATATATGAAACATGATTTCCCAAGTTTGTCTTATAGTACTAGTTAGGATATTCAGAAATGTCAGAGGTGAGATGTTAGGTAATGGCAGTCACCTTTGCTCTAAGTTCAGGGGAAAGCGTTCATTATTTCACAAGGGAATGTGAGTTTTCTTAAAGATTTTTAATAGATGCTCTCCATCTAT